CCCGTGCTTGCACCCTCGTCGCCAACCGACTCCAAGTGTTCGCCCGATTCCTTAAGCTCTCCCGACGGCCATGGATCCCATCCATCCAACCCAATACAATCGCCAGCTCTCCAAATCAAACCATCCTCCATTCTACTCTTACCTTGCCTTCGAGCCATCATCTTGCGAACTCGCCTTTTCCTTGCACAAGGCTTGCACCAACATTGACTTTCTTTTCGAGCCTTTGCTTTGCGTTGCCTCTTGACCGTCCGTTTCCTTACCTTAGACTTCAGCTTTGGGCCACCACCTTTTGGCCAATCTCGTACACATGATGGCCGGTAAATCGGATTAGATGGCTCCTCCAACATATTTTCTAGCCAAATATCGAGTCCATCGCCACCCTCATCCTCCGACTCGCCTGGACCACTTACATATCATTCCCCTCCTCTTCGAGACTTTTCTTGTCCTCAAGGATCAAAAAATTCAGCGCACCTTCATCTTCGTGGTAATGAGCATCGATTACCATCGCTTCTCGGGCTTCCATGAGTTGACGCTCGTACTCTTCAATATTCCTTCGCTCATGAAGCTCATCAAGATATGTTGCTTCCCATGGTGTGAGCTCTCTTTCCAAACCTTCCAACATCTCCAGATCTTCCCAATCCAACTCATCCAATGGTGGGTAAGACATTTTTTTTTTTTACTCTAAAAAATTTCGAATAAAATAGGGAAAAATTCGAAAAATCGAATCCCCAACAAGACTCAAAAAATCGAAACAAAAAGAAATTCGGCCCCTCAACAAAAGGCAATAACCGAACAAAAATCAAACAAAGGACTAACAAGATGACACTTTTTTTTTAAGACACGAAAAAATAATGAAAAATTCGAACTAAATTCGAAAATTTCGACCCAAAAAAGAAAAGAAATTCGGTCCCTCAGCAAAAGGCAAACCGAAAAAAGAAAAAGATAAGATAGATAAAGAACACGATCAGCACCTCTCAATGAAAGCACCAATGATGACGGAT